CCTTGTTATGTTTGTCGTTTCGCGTGTAGCGCGGCACTTGATACGCTTTGAAATTCATACCTTATGAGGGGAGTTGTCGGTGTAGCCAGTTGATCGTACAGTTCATGCAAGCTTTCTAAGAGTTCATAATGTAACTAATCAATTGAATATACAGTTTCAAATGTTTCCTGAATTGAAGAGGACCTCCGGCATTTTCGCTTGTTCAAGTGGTATTGAATGCTGAAGCCGATAGGGTGGCTTAATTAGCTTGTTATAAACTAGCATCCTTTTATTAACCAATGGAAAGAATGTGTCGGAACGTTTAGATCAGGGGTCGCCAATCTTTTCAGGTGGAGGGCCGATTCGCATCATTACAACACGGTGGAGGCCCGCACACTGCATCGGGCAGGGGTGGTGCAGGCGAAAAGGAAACAAAGTGTTAAAACGAGAAAATATGGAAAGTTTATTATCAACGCGCATGTGGCAAGATTAAGGTTAAAAAAATAGGTTATGAGCAAAAACCCAATTTCAGGTAAGAAATGTCATGAGGGGCCTTCAGACAGGGAGGGATATGGGGTTTCTCACGTCGTCCTGGTGCCGCATAAAACTGCCATGCGGCCCACCCCTGATTTAGATTATTAGTGTAGTGTGTGTGCGATGACGTCACAACATATGCCTCCGTAATGTAAAGGCAATACGCAAGACGCTAGTGTCATGCGGGACGGGCGACGTCTCTGATGTCTGGCGAGCTGTGTCAGGTCTTTGGAAACCGACGAAGATTTAGGTGACGATATCAGTGCTGACCGGGGGCCGAGCTCTACGATCTGCGCCGTGACGTCACATTCCATGGTGTATGATCGGGAAACGCGCAACCAATCGTATTAGTTTTCAAAGCCGGATTCGGGCCGTGGTGGTCGTGTTTTGATGCAGGCGATTTGCTACAGTTGTGCGATGTCGGGGCACGGCAAAGAACGCCAGATGGCCAAACTTTTAGGGAGCCTTTTGATGCGGCGTTCCTTGCGATTTTGCGACATAAAAATGCAACAACTTTTGTTTAAAATTTTGTTGGCAAAGAAGTTCAACTACTGCGTACTAAATCTGTGTACTAAAGATAACGTGTGTGTGGAAGCTTCCGAGATTGGTATACATAAAAAAAATTACCGGAATCGCTCTACTTAAAGTGGTAATTGAAGCATATGTAAAAAAAGTCGTGCTGCGACTCTCATCTCGCTTTTTCACGTTGACAGTGTTCACGGCTTCATGCCCGTTCTTCAATTGCAAATATTTTATCACTCACGTACAAGGAAAGCTGCTATATTTTCTTGGATGGAAGGCGTTTGGGCCACATTGCTCAACAGAGCGTGCCTCTCCCATTTGCGGCTCCCACGATCGCACCCCTTTTTGTGCCTGTTGTTGCCCGGCTGCGGCGGCTATCCCTTGCCAAGGCTGTGTCACATATGGCTCTCATTATTCACGCTCGCAGATAGGCCTCGCCCCGATCGTTCGCTCGCCATCACTTGCGAGTATACAGGCCCTTGCTATACGCGTGCTCTCTGTGTGTGCAAGTCAGTCAGTTGCCCTCACTGTGGGGGAGAAGTCTTCGGACATCTACCACATGGTGTGGGCCTGCCCCTGCAACCCTGCTATGCCCCCCTATCTCCATGACGACAGTTATAGCGCGAGAACAGAGACAAGACTCGAAGGAAGGTCTCTGTATCGCCGTTCTGCTCTTTGTGTCGTCGTTCTGTTCTCGTGCTATAACTATCGTCATGTCGTACGAACTAGCCCAAGCTGCCACACTTCTAAGTTACATCGCTATCTCCAAACCAACTCTCGTGTCTTTCGTGTCCTTCTTGTCTCTGTGTCGTCGTTCTGTTCTCGCGCTATAACTGTCATGTCATACCAACTATCCCAAGCTGCCACACTTCGGAAGCAGCGGGGAGGCGACCCTGCTTGACTGTTCTGGACTTCGGGCCCAAAAGGCCTTGGTTCGACGAGCTCTGGCGGCTGCCGACGCCAGTGGGGTCCCGTACCATAGGGATCCCCAGCTACCAGTTGTGGGTGCCGTCCTCTTATATAGGCGCTCCCTGCATATCTCCCTTGTTTTTGATAAATGTGTTTACCACCAGGACGACACAAGCCGAGCAACCTATTTTGGCCAATCACGAGCACGTGGGGGCGCAGACAAACACCCTTTCGAGCAAGTGTGAATGCCCAAATTGCTTTCGGGATAGCAGAGTTGTTATGCTTTATTTGTCACGTGGAAATATTCCAATTTTATTTAAGTACAAATCGTAAAACGTGTAGTGTAGCTCGCAGCGTTTCTTTTTTTTTCCTCCATCGTTGGTTTTGATCTGATCGAAATCAATCCGCACAGAGGGTATATATATATATGAGCTAAACTCGTCAGTGTTCCGCCCAGTGTAAAGTTCGAAATACGTCGAAATCCCTCCCAGGGCACCACCTTAGGACTTCCGCAAAAACAAAAGCAGTCTGTCTGTGCACGGACGTGTGGACGGTCCACCGTGGCGACACTGCCGCGTCCTCTCCTGCCTCCGGGTGAATCCTGCCGCACTGGTTGCACCGTCCGTATACATCCGTCCGCCCATATACCCGTCACGGCGCGTGTCCTTCCCTCTCCGTCCAGCAACGAGCGGCCCGCGGTCGTTGTCCACCGTGAGCTCGCCGCGGGTCATTGTCTGCCCGCCGCCTTGCCTGCCCGTCTAGCCGGCCGGACTTTCATGGGCCGGACTGCACCACCGGCGTTTGGCGAAGAGCGTTGCCCCCTTGCCAGCGCTGACGAGCGGCGGCGGCCGACGTCGTAGTCTTCTTCTTCCTTTGTGCACCAGCAGCTCTTCGTCGTCGTCGCGCTTCTTTTGGTCCTCCGCGTGGTGATTTTCGGGACCTTGCGAGAGCGTCAGCATCCCGGACCATAGCGATCCGTCGCGGTCCGTGTGTGTGGGGAGGAGAGGACGGAGGCGTGATTTTGTCTCACTTCGCGTCTCTCCCTCCGTCGCCCCTTGCTTTCTTTTGCAGCGACGGGGCTTTCTTGCCGCCAGGAACGCGTTTTGCGGCGGTGTCCGTGGAAGAGCGTCGGCGCGACCAGTCTCTCCGTCGCCGCCACGCCCCCTTCCCATCTGCCCCCTTTTTTTCTTGCCTCTTTGAATGACGGGGGTGTTGCGTGTGGTTCCGTGCGGGTGCGTTGTCTCCGTTCTCTGGCGGACCATATAACCGCCGGGCCGAAACGAACTGGTCTGGTTAGTTTAGCGATGGTATATTGTTGACATCTTAGTTAAGGGTTTGTCTGGCAAGCGGTTGACAACCGGAAGGTTTGGCTTAGCGATAGTGTATATAGTTGACAGTTAGGCGCATGACGCCGGAAAGAACTTGGGGACGCTTTTGAAAAGCGCCCCCTGTGGTCTTCGCGACACGAAGATTGGCGTGTGTCACTCGAAAGCTGTATATGGACATTTCTCTGTGCGATCTGACAGAACAACCGCGCTCCGCGAGTTCTTAATCTGGCGTGGAGGAATGTCCATAAAAAGAAAAAATAACGGTTGTGCTGTGTCACGATCCGCCCCGATTGATAGTGAGCTCTGCGATTGCGAGGGGCTCATTTGTGTAAACGACTCGGCCGAATCGTCGCAGTACGCATAGTTGTAAAACGCCTTGGTCAGTTTCTCGTGTTCGCTCTTGTTCCAAAGTCCCGATTTATCTTTTCACGATAAAAGATAGCGTAGGATCTGCCCGATAGCATAGCCGACACTCCAACGCTCTGGTCTTTTGAGACCTCTCTTTGCGGAGCCCCCCCCCCCCCCCTTTTTTTTTTCCACCCAGAATGAAGTTTAGTGAGCAATGTTGGTGTACAAAATAAATGCTCTGGTAATGTCGTCGCCTACTTGCGTTGGTGTTCGCTTACGGCATAATATAATAGTTTGTAATAATGGTGACACACTTCTAGATCCCCGGAGGCTACATTCAAGCAGAAAACGGCACCAAGTTAAGCTTGTTGGTTAACGTTCAATTTGTAATGGTTTAATCTAAACTATCGCAAGGACGAAAGAACTGTGCACATGTCGTCTCAGGCTTCTTCTTTTGTTGATGTTGTTATGGCACAGTTGAAACCACCATACAAAATGTGCTACATCAGTTCCCGTTGTCGTGGGCGTGCGACCCATGGCTATTCCTCAGGATCGTTAGTGCGCGTGCAAGCCGTGCCGGATGATCCAGTTGTATAGGCGAGATGCGAGGTTAACTGAAAAAGTTCCCAAGTATGTCGAGTGCTAATGCGCGTTTGATCACTTGGAAAGCGCCATCTCTGATAGTTATTGAGGTACGGTATTGACAACTCGGGGGGGGACAGCCTACTTGCACTTCTACAACAGGGGGATACCAGGGAAAACAGCGGCATGCTCTCCTATCGACGACGCCATTTGTGGCGTTGCTGTTTAGGTCACGCGACCTTGAGCTGTGGAGTTGCAAATGATTCTCGTTCCGTTTCAGTCAACTGCAGCGTGGCCTCTCCCAATTATCTACAGTGCACCCATTCTGTTGTTCTTAACGTGTCTTACACGTTAAGCGGCCAGCTCAGGGTCCATTTCTTTTGCTTTGACGTCGAATAGCATATATGCCACGCATGTTTGGTCTGACTTCTGTAGTTTTTCAAACTCTCCATGTTATAATATACTCCTAATAAGTTTTCCTTCGCCTAATGTCGAATGGTACATCCGCTACTCATGTCTGGTCCGGCTTCTGCCGCCTTCCAAACTCTCAATGTCACTCCTATCCTTTTTCCTTCCCTTGTGTGCTGCGTAGTCCTAAGACTCTCTCTAATTCGTAATCTTCCATGTTTCAGCTCCGTGATCTAGAACTGGCAGCATGCTGTGGCTGTGTACTTATCGTTTTAATGGCAGTTGCAGAATTAATTAGTGACATAACTTGGGAGTGTCTGCCGAATGCTTTCCAGCCCAATCTTATTATTCGGCAAACCCTAATTCAGAAAGGCGAATAAACACGGTAAATGGGGCAGGTGGTGTGCGTCGTCTGTCTAGTTGATCAATGTGTCGTGATTCAAGTCGTCGCGAGTCTTGAGACAGCACCACTTGTAGAGCAACACTTCCAGGACGAAGCCGAACCAGGCGCAGCCCTGTGACACGATCAGCATGTAGAAGATGGCCGCGAAGTCCCTGAAGTTTAGTGGCTGGTAGTCGTGCAGGTGGTCCGGATGGAAGCGCGTCCAGCATGGTCCCGGATCGGGCACCAGGTCCTCGTGCCAGTACAGGTTGAGGCCGGTGTCCATTATCCAGCGGACTCGGCGGAAAATTTCGTCCTGCACAGCGCGATGGCACTCTGTAAAACACCCTTGTAAGAGTGCATCTCGTAATCTGCATCTCGTAAGCAGTGAAATATGATGGCGATGCTAACGCAATTCGCGATGACGTAACGTGTTGTGGCGGCTTCAAATGTGTTTCACTGTGCGTGGCCGGAATTCATTGTTGGACAGCTATATCAGCTAGTAGCATCGGTACATATAAGCTGCGTAGTAAGAGTATACTAGTTTGAACTGACCTGGGTGTCCCGGAATCGGGTACGGGCCGTGGCGGTGCCGTTTAGATGGTGACGAAATGTTGGGGTCCCACTACTTCAATTTAGGTGTGCGTTAAAGGAGCCCAGGTTGAGAAAATTTCTGAAGTCTACTGTGGCGTACCTCGTAAAGGAGTGATGGTTTCGGGCAGTAAAATTTAACAGCTAAGATGTTTGACCCGTAGGTCCTTATAAATATAAAGCTTTCTTTTTGTTCGGAGTTTCCGACTTTTCATCGACGTACTCAAGTTTTCGTTTAATATACCACCCTAGTACTTATATGTACGTTGTTCTCTGGTTAACTTCTGATTGCCTTACAGTCAGTCTTGACTGATGTAAGTGTACCGCATCCTTCTTCGAAATCTCATTGTGGACGAACTTTTACTTTCCGACCAGCGAGGAGGGGGGGGGGGGGGCGGGGTGATACGCAGTTTTGTCCATGACGCAGGTACGATCATCAACTTTTTAAAGTTAGACATTCGACATAAAGTATAGCCTAAAGCGAAATTATTCGCGGAGACAACCTGCGGCACTGTTTCGGCGCAAATTTCGGAAGAGTCGTAGTAGCTCGTGTATTATATCGGCATGAAAATGAACCGAGCGTTACATCTAACAATCTTTCAATCAAGGCCGGCGGGAGCAGGCGGCGCTCTCTATATGAAGCCTGGCGAACGCTGTCATATTTATGTATCGCCGCTCTCCAAACAGCTGCTACGCACTTCTCGCGAGGGCACGCACGCATGACGTGGGAATGGGGGAACTGTCTGCGTTTGACAGGTATCGGCGAGCCGATGTCAGCGGGGCACTTCGCGACATTTGCGCTGCTCGTTGCATGCGTAGGCGTGCGAACAAGAAAGGGGGCGTGGCAGGAGCTTTCCCCCATCTTATCATCGAAGATGTCTCCCCCCCTCCTCCAGCCTGCTTACTGCCCTGTATACTCATAGGCGTGCACTGAGTTTCTCACGGTTTCCTGTTGGAGGGGGGGGAAGAAGCAATCTTATTCCCCTTTCGGGTAATTAAATCGCACTAATATTGGAGGACTCCGAGCGTGCCTCAGGCTGCAGTGACACCTAAATTATCAAAATGGTGCTTGTGTGTTTAAATTCGATTATTCGGAAGGACGTGAAGTTCGTGCCGAATTTAGTTTTCACCGTGAAAAAAAAAACTAAGAGGTATAAAACTACAAAACGCCGCTTCGATTCGCGCACGGCAGCCTTCGCAGCAAGCGTATAATACACACGTGGGAACGAAACATTATGCTTCCTTGGATGCCCCATCGCCGCACATACTCAAAAATGTATTTGCACACGCTGGCTAAGAAAAAAAAATCGCCACGCCGCATTGTTTTAACAAACGCAACGCTGTTCATGACCACTAAGAATATATAGCCTGGCGCTGAAGTGTACAGGATGTGATATTTTCGAGGGCTGTTTCCCTCTGTTTCTGGCCATAGCCTCAAAAAAATATCTTGCAACCTGAATAGGTCTCTGCTATCTAACTATACTAGTACATATATATTACACCACTCTAGTGCATGTACACTATACTATTATACTATACTATAATATAGTAATATGCCAATACGTGATCTATATACTCTTACATAAGTTACCCGATAGATTAGCAGAATCGAGCTGTGATGGATTGGAAATTCGAATTTATAGGTAAAGACGTGTCATCGTCGAAAGTATACAGACCACCGGGTATGAGAAACATTTAAACTTCGCTGCAATTTCGTAGATTTGGGTGCACTGTTAAAGAACCCCAGGTGGTCGAAATTTCCGGAGCCCTCCACTACGGTGTCTCTCATAATCATATAGTGATTTTGGGACGTTAAACCTCACATGTCATTCATCAAATCAGTGTCGCTTCCTTAAACTTGTGAAACTGCCTGTACATTCTGGCAACATTTGCCGTAGAATGTGCACTGCGAGATAAATTACCGCTTCCCTCCCGTCCGAGCTACAAAGTAGCCACGTATTAATCTTATCAGTTCCTCAAGCGAATGGTGTCCCTTTACTCGAGATGATTCGACACTTATATCGCAAGTGACTGCATGCATGTCCGCCCACCCACGTTTCATCTTGTTGTTGCCGCTGCTGTCTAGCCTGCCAAGACAGCCGGGTCAAGTTTGACAGCGACAAAAGATTGAGCGAGAATGGAACGCCTCGTCTTGCGTCTGTAGCTGCGAATTTCCGTTGCTATATAGCGCACGTGAAAGATCGCATAGGGCCTGGAATTGGCACAAGTGGCGGCGAAAGCAGCTGGCAGGAAACACCGGAGACTTAAAGCGCTGCAGATGGTCCTGGACATGCATCCTTTGCGCTGTTGATAGGATCAGGCGTATGACGGTCTAATTGATGCAACCCATATATAGTCTGCGGACGTGTGCACGATGATCCGCTGCGGAGTACCAAGGCGTGCCCTATATATTCGGGAGTTGCATTATCTGATTCCACGGCCATGACTGCCTGATATCTGTAAGAATTCTCGAGAAGTGAGATTGAAGTGCACGTTGAATATGTGGAAACCCTTGATTGTCTTTCAGTTGTACGTGATGGCGTCACTTGTGAACTAACTACTGTGCTTTTTTTCAAGGTGCCCTTGAACTCTACGATCGGCCCGTGTGCATTTCGGTATTTTTGGGGTGAAGCTCCTTGTGGTCTAGGGAAATCCCGCATCCTTCCGGGGGCGTAGCTAGCCCAGCATATCCACATACGGACGGACGGACGGCCGCTTCGCCCCACTCATAATCGTTCACTCCGTGGATAAGCTGTGACTCTTTAAGTCATGCACCCTATCGCATGTACAACCTGGAATGCCAGCGAAAGACGTGGGATCCAATCCTGGCTGCATTCCGATTGGAGGCTAAATGATTGGCCCGTGCAGTTTGATTAGAGGCTCTTTAAAGAATCCCCAAGAGTCCAAAGTTTCCGAAGCTCTCCACTACAGCGTCCGCCGTAATGTCGTGGTTTTGGAACTTAAACTATTTGAACGCTAGCGTACACGTATGGAGCTCGGAATTCGCTCGATGGTTAATGCACGCCGTCATCATGCAATGCAAAAAAAAAAAAAAAATGCCGCCATATCCACGAAGTGAATAATGATGAGTGGGCGAAGCTCCGGAGGTAAACCTGGTAAACCATGAATCCTCCGTACATTTTGCCCACTCGATTTTATTGCAACGCTCCCCCTAGCGTACGTCGCCGCACTATATCGAACGATAACACGCGCCATATGTGGCATCATTCCTATTTTATAACACCTCGCATCTTTCATAATCAACTACACGTACCGCCGTCTAGTTTATAACATCTTGCATCTTTTGGACGGACGGACGGACGGACGGACGGACGGACGGACGGATGGACGGATGGATATGGCTGTACCCTTTAGATCGGGCGGTGGCTAGCGTAATACTTAGAACTGAACGAGAGGTGGCTACATACAGGGGACGCACAGCCCACGCCTTAAGGAGCTTCGCTCCTAAAAGTTCGTAGCCCCGGCGGCTTAGGCCTTGCAGGGATTGAATTTGCGTCCCCATTTTGACGCGCGCTACAACAGTACGGTGTACACTGTTGTGTCGTCTTGCGAAATGTACTAACACTACTAACCCTGCACTTACACTGCACTTACACGTTCAATAGTTTAACATATGCATCTGAAAGGACTGTTTCACACTCATGCTGACTATATCGCAAATTTATATGTACGCTGTTCGGTAAATGCGTTTCTGGCGCTGTATACGCTAAACGGCGACAAATACACCAGTCGTTTATACGCTATAGCTTGCGCTGACTCCACATTTAGTTATCCTGATAAGCATTTGAGTTCTTGTGTGTCATCTAATCTCGTTGTCGCACGAATTAACGACCCGCAATGCTTTCTTTTCCCGTTTTTTTTTTTTTTGCAGCTAGAACGCCTATATATGCCTCATGAGAAATCGCGTTGTCGTAAACTGCCCGCAGCATGTACTTTCAGAAATGCTTATCGCTGATTGCCATTCCTGGGAATTGGGTTGCGTATGCATGGACGTGCGTCCAACGCAGGCTTCATAGATTCGCACAAGGAAGCGAAGACTCCCTCCTTTTTAATGGCGCGAAATGAAAGCACCGCACTGCTTGTGTTGTTCCGTAAGACAATGGATATCGCGTTGGAGGATTTTCTGCCTCTCTTCCAAGATGGGATGTAAAATACGACACTGCATTTGTAGGCCGTGGCCGCGGTTGCGGGCTTTCGTAATTAGCGCCTCCTCCTGAGGTTATTTTCCCAGCAGAGCGCGCCCCTATATGAGCTAGATTCTGAGCGCGTTACGATTGTTGTTTGTAGCTCCACTATGCTGTTCCGTGAACTAGCGTCTTCGTGTCGGACTCCGCGCCGCTTTATCGCACTCTGCTCCGGCGTATAGCACGGCTTCGCAGCTCTGCATGGGCGTCCCCAAGGTTGCCACCGTCACGTCGTTATGCCGCGCGTGCGGCGTCGAGATTACCATCTCGCGTGTGGTTCACGGCCGTGAAATCCATAGATTCGTCGAGGAACGTAAATTATTGCCGTCCGCCGCTAATGAGGTCTGCAAAATACCGCGATGTGGTGGAAGGGTTACAAAAGGGAAAATCGAAAACGCCCTCGTTTAGTAGGACAAGCCGGTGTCATAGCTAGGAGGTGGCACACTAGGCCCATGCGCCGAATTTTTTTCATACAGAGCAAACAAATTACCATTTCTACAGTCTCCTGCCCCCGCCCCCCCCCCTTCTCCGAAAAAAATTTCCTGTCTAAGCCCCTTGCCACAAGCTACTGGAATACAAGTATTCCTCGGCAATATTTTTAGTTGACGAAGAGTACTTCCTGTTCCGAGGATCGGACCATGACCCATCGCCTTTCAGCGGTGGTTGCTCTACTAGTCGAGATAGAGCTATCCAATCGCAGTGCGTTGACGATTAATCGACTGCTCTAAGCGCATGCGTTCAGAATCTGCGTCCATGACGTCATCTGCAAGCTGTAGTGAGTTGATGGTATACAGTCCCAATCACATTCCCACTGTTCCCTCCGGTATACACGTGTACCTACCTGCAGCTTCTGGTCCAAGTCCTTGCGGACGTAGAAGACCATCTTGATCTGCAGTATCCGCTCTCTGCCCAGGTGAAACAGTCCCTGGCCTCTGAGCTCGACGTCGTAGCAGTGTTGCGACACCCTGGCCAAGAGCGATATTCTTTCCATCAGAATCGCCGCTTCTTTCTGGAGCACCATGAGCAGGTACGGGGGAGTGAACAGCTCCTCTCCGTGCACCTCTTCCTCGGCTTGGCCCTCGCTGAACTCCTTGATGGTGGCCAGCACTTTCTCGAACGCGTAGCCTTCTGCCTCCTGCAAGGAGATTGGTATATGTTGTCAGCGATTTAGCAGTGCGTTAACTTGAGAACATTACGCCTCTGGGAAGTAGTGCTACTTCGCTATTGTATTTTTGGTTGAACGTGAGGTTTTTGAGCGTTTCGTTCGTTTTATCAGCCATGTGACCAAGTGAATTTTGGTAGTGAGACCGTTGCTGAGGGAGCAATAACTGAACCGTAAGTATTTGGCAGCAAGACCCTTTTCAAAGTAATCGCTTGTCTCTGACTCATGTTACTTCCTATGATGTCTTTTTTTTTTTGCGTCCATTTACCTTATCAGCAAGGAAAAGTAGCGTGCTACGCTACTTTTCCGGGGTTTTCATCGTACTGAACGCGATCCAGCCGGCACGTTTCCATAACCCAAACAGCCTATAATATCGAAACCTCGGTGTCGCCTTCGCATGCGCGAGTCTCGTGGTCTGCGCTGAAACGTTACGTATGACGTCATTGACGGAGCGTCACGGCGCCGTCGACTATCGTTCTGGAAACATGACGCTGATAGTGAGAACCGCGAAGCGGCATAGCATAAGTTCTTAGCCACCCAGTGACACAATTGAACCGCTGACAGGGACAAAGTAGCGATACCCGTTCAACGACACTCTGAAACCTCCTCTCATTCAAATTTTGGGGGTGGTAGGAGGTCATACGTGACGTTTCTGCTAGGGTAACATGACTTTCCCGCGTGTGACGTTGATCGGAAGTTGCAAAACTAATACGCTCTAGCGCTCTTTAAGGGTGTCATTCAGGGCACAGTCAAATTCCGCCATATTGATAAACTTCGTAACAGCCTCTTTTGAAGCCAATCATGAAGGCCTTAGATAGTCCTCTGGGGCAATCTGTTCACCAATGGGGGAATTTGAAAACTCCTGAATAAACTTCGTAACAGCCTCTTTTGAAGCCAATCATGAAGGCCTTGAATGGTCTTCTGGGGCAATTGGTTCACCAATGGCGGAATTCGAAAACTCCTGAAATATAGGAGATATGCAAGCATGCACCGCCGTCTTCCGGTTTACCTCGATAATCTTCAGGAATCCGGCCGCCTCGAAGACCATGGGCCGGACCTTCGGGTTGAGCGCTAGCTGCTCGATGGTGTCCAGGCGGTCTGTCTCTTCCTTGAGCATGAGCGCCGACTCCATGTAGCCGACGAAGGTGTTCATGAGGATGACGAGCATCAGGAACCAGCTTCCAAACAGCACCCGCTGCGAGTGGCTTGCGAAGTGGAACGTCGAGCTCTCCAGGAACATGGACGCCACGTAGACCCAGAAGATTCGGGCCACCCGCTGACGCCGCTGACGGAATGACAGCCGCGTGTCCGGAAGCTGCGAGTCGTTTAGTGGTCGTAAATGTCGCGAGTGTCAACGTACGCCCGTCGTGTCGCGCTACCAATATCTAGTACTGACACTGGTTGGTCGAGATGCGTAATGAACAACGCAAGACGCATCAAAAGGTATAAATGCGCTATAGCACTTACGCGTGAGCGTGAAAGCCCAACGACACGACCGCTTGTCTCATTCTTGATCTGTCTGCTAGCAATGACGTACAATCCATATAACAAACTAGCCCGACACGCCTCTTCACAAGAAACGAATGACCCGGATAGAGGCTGATCTGGACACTTCCGAACAGTCAGTTCAGTCTATTGTGCCAATCTTCCTTTCACTCGCTATTTGACGTCGAACAACGTCGGATATGCGGGTCTTTGGATATGGGACAACTTCGGATATGGAGGATCTAAATAGACCATCCATAGTGTCTTTGCGAATGAAATGCCCTTTCAAAGGGACCTTCGTGATAGGCCGCGCGCCGGCTTGATATCTCTGAAGTCGCATCGTGCGTACGCACATACGTACCAGTATCTCTGCCGCAACGGCGATGCCTGCGGCCACAAGGAGGAAGCAGAGGAGCACCATCCACACCTGGAGGTCGAAGGCGCGGATGTAGCCGTACACGTTGGATTTGTGCTCCTTCTCGACGCCGCTCAGTATGACCATGTCCTCGTCGGTGTACGCCGGTGACGGGTTGGCCACGCTCGCCTCCTTCTCGGTCAGCACGAACGGACCCAGCGCCAGGTCCGCCTCCTGCGCGGACGGTTTGGATTCCGCTCACCTCGTTCGTCTGGCCTTTGAGGCAATTTGCCCGTAACGCGCCGCTTTTTTGCCCCGATAAAACCTTAAACCCGGACGACCGCTCACACACATGCTTAGTCCATCCACACCACTCCCACAGTGCACCTCGTGCATCCCCGTTATGGATGGTAATTCGGCGCCGTGGCCGCGTATTGTTCAGTTGCTAGAAACGAAGTCTAACGCTAGAGTTCGCTACGCAAAAACATAATAGGCTAAAATTCTGGGACGTTCGAATTCTGCAGCTTTGCATGCATGCGCTCGTGTGGTGTAAGCATTTTCTGTCGGCGTTGTAGCATCACGCGCCGCTAGAATGGGCTGTTACTGGCGATGGCGCAGTCGAGCCATGGATAGATGCCGTAGAGTGAAACACTTTAAAAACTTCTCAATGCTACGGACTTGGCGTACATGTGTTTAGGTGTTTTTATTCCTCATGTGGTGTACGTTCAATCGTGGGGCTATGTGGGACGTAAGGAATCCTCGCCAATTATTACTGAAAGGAAAACGAAGGCATACTTTTACATAGCTTAACTGTTAGGCCTGCACTATAGTGTCGAATTTTCCTCTTGGACCGCCTGTAGTAAAACCTTAGTAGCACAAAATATATACTGAATATTTCTATGCAGAGTTAGACCGGCATTTAGACCGTGCTGCAGGACTATACAGAAACCAACGCGTGGCGTATCCTTGCTTTGTATTTGGTCTTGGTGGCGCTTACCCCTCGCTGCAGTTGGCCCATCATGCCTGTCCAGGCGCCGTTTGGTCGCAGCTCTCCCCACTCATTGTCCAGAGGCTGTACCAGTTGATACCTGCGCACGAAGTCGGAGGGCTTCGATGACGCATGCCACTTTCGTCGTTGGATGTGTCGGCGACGCGTCATTAGCCCCTGGTGGGCGTTGCCGCATGCAATGAAGAAGAACGGCTATTTGGGCTAGTTGCTTCACCACGCATGCAATGACCCGGCTTTTTTTTTCATCTATGTCGCACTTATAGCTCACCGCGGTGTTATTGCTCATTACGTAGACGAGGCTGGGGTGGAGGTGGGTGTTGTCTTCTTCTGTATCTCCTGTGGTTTTGCCGTTACCTTTGCTGATCGTGGGGATAAGATGTAAAATACACGGAACTATGCCGTCACTGGGATTTTTTGTCCACTCTCGCTTTATGGCGACAGACGTGGTACATTTACATTACGCCAGAGTCTTCTCTGGTGTAATACATAAATTGGTAACACAAGGTCCCGAGGTAAACACTAGCGGTGGCTGTTCTATAACAGTTACGTAACTGCTACGTGGCACCTTGCATAGCATGCAATTCGAAACTGTCTATAGGGATCGACATAACTTGATTTACGGTAACCGAGGAAACCGATCTATTCATATACTTGATCTGCTTGCTTACATAAATAATACCTTGTGTGAAAGTCCTTCATGTGGCCTAAATCTTTAATTAAAGTAAAATTTAGGTTCCCATCTTGAAAAGCAACTGCGAATGGAAGTGGAAGTTTCTGACGTCGGTGCACACATGCACGAGTTTTTTTTTTTTTTTCTCGCTGTCTCACATCTACGAGAAGTACGTCGGCGTGGTTGAATAGAACAGTGGGCCTGCTCTATACTGAGCCTAATCAGCGTAACTACTCCTGGAACTCTCGAGTGGGCTTAGGTTACTGGTCTGGCCAAGTTGGTATGAAATTCATGGTACGATTACTTGCGCCTCACTTGTGAACTTGGAACAGACGTATCCCCGTTCCGAGCTACCATGAATTGAAACGAGCGCGTTGGTTTGTTTTGAACGTGAGTACTTTGTTTGCCCTTTGGCCGCACGCCGTTCCAGTTGTGCGATCGTGAGGTGATTCAGCGGATCGCTTTGCAATTGTACCGTCGCGCGTGCACTGCGTCTGCGTGCAGACGCGAATGCAGTAACGGACCTCTCGGGGAATGAACTGTTCGAGACCGCGTGTAGGTACTCTGCGCAGGCGCGGCACTGGTGTCGCTGTGCACCTCGCGCACACTGCGAGTAACGGAGGGCGCGCAGCGGGGGTCCGGTTGCGTCATGCACCTCGCTTGCGCGCAGGGCGGGCAGGAATGTCGCACGGCGCGTGCTTCTGTTGCGGCATCTGGGTCGGCTGCATGCGTTGCCGCCGATGCGTTCGCTCACTTGATGCCCATGGACTGGATGATGTAGTCGATCATTGAGCCGGTGATGCCCTTGAGCTGGAAGCCGCCTCCCGGTTGGTCGACCATGAACACGTACGGGTACCACTGCACGAAATGGAGACAAAAGTGTTGCGAAATTTCGGCCGATGCCTCTACGGATGTCTGGGGTGTATCCAAATAATTGATTTCTCCGAGTAATACACCCCCCTCCACCAATTTCTCTGTTGTTAATCTTATTCTCGTTTTTTTTTTTTTTTTGTCACTGGTGTTCTGCACCGAACCATTGCCTTCCTATAATATAGGACGCTTCTGGAAGAAATGTCAATGTTGGGCCGGTGGATCTGTATCGTAACTGAATGCCGATCTTAAGCGGCCGTGCTGACGCGTGCACTCGTTTGCGGGACAGCATTGCTGCACGGAACATCCCACAGTCTTGGAACTAGGCATTGCTGCGCTTCTCTTTCAGTTTTTCTTTTTTGCCCGCCTTTCGCCATGCCGCACCAAGCAACGTCTCTCTATTATTATATGCAGCATTAATTGGTGTAGCTTTGGTTGGGGGTGTGGATGGGGCGAGAAGGTTCAGATCTTCGTCCTCTTCGAAACATTTTTTACAGGTGTGAAACGCGCACACAGATGTTGTTCAACACCCCCCCCCCCCCCGCCAACAGTCTCAGATTTCTAGTTACGCCCCTGATAGCGTTTCTCGCATTCCTACCATCGTTTTGTCAGCTCTACTTCTGTTAAAACACTGTAAACTTACTCCTTTGTAGCCTTCCAGGTGTGAACCTCGAGGTTTTGCAGTCGGAATGCAATCACCGATCTTATGCACCGGTCGCTTATTTTCACTATAACGCACTAAATAATCGCCTGTCCCCTGTTTCCGAAGCTACGCGTAAACGTGAATACACCACATCGCCGCATGTACTCACGCCGACATTGCTCAACCTGAGCGTCAAGTTCTTGTTCCAGAACGTCATCCTTCCGCAGAGAGGGCTTCGTCGTGTCACGCCGGTAGCTCGACCTCCTGTGACGCTGTAGCGAGAGTGACGCTGCTCCTGTGACGCTGCTGAATATTGCGTGTTTGTTGGGGGGGCCTCTTGTTCAAGATCAAAACACCGAATTCTGATTTATTTATTTATTTATTTACTTTTTTTGGCTGAATTGTCAACGTACTTCGTTTATTCCACGAAGCTCGCCCGTGCGTACGCGAGCTTTGTTCTGTTGCCTTCGCGTGTTCGACGTGGGCGTTTCTAAAGTTTTAAGCTTTACAATACGTTTACTTGTTTCTTGCTTCTTCCAAGCATTTCAACGGGCAGCAGTGGTTTTTCTTGTTAAACTGGCGGTTCGCCATTCGACCATGCTTCGATGTCGGCCGCCGCACGATCACATATGGGCGGTCGTCGGAACAGTACACGGATTAGAAAGGATATCGCTTGGAACGTGCCCGCTATCGTCCGCCTCGTGGCTTGCTGTGTATTTTGTTGGGCGCTCTTGTTATTAGGTGGACTAGAGACGTGTACTTATCGTTCTGCGGCTGCGTGCGCGCGACCTGGCAAGTTTTTTGTTCGCTTCTACAGTCTCGTATACTTTCTTCTCCCTTGTTTTCCCTATATGCGCTCGCTGGTATAAGTTCCGCGTGTAGACGTGGACGCTACGTCTTTGCGCGCCTTGTAGAGCATATATGCCAGCAGCCGTCGTGAAGGGGGGGCGGCGGTTTTCGAAAAAAAAAAAAAAAATGCGGGGCTCTTCTGTTTGCTCCGCGTTCTGCAGCTGCGCCGTCGGGTCAAGCTGCGCGTTCTAGTTCACGCGATGATTGCGGTCTTTCCGCGCAATGCGGTCTATACGAGAGTACCGGGTGTATCTGGATCGGGCCGTCACTCTATGGGTGGCATTCGACGATCGATTTCGAGTACCCCCCTTTTTTGTGCGTAGTTTTCTTTCGCGCCACGATGCAACGTCTCGTAAATTTCATACCATCTAGATTCCGAGTCATGACCTGCCAGCAGGGTTACGCTCTGCTCGGCTGCTGTGACGAAAGTCGCTGGTTTCGATCTCGGCCGTGGCGGTGCCATATCGATCCAGGTGCAATGCTGTCGAAGCCCGTGCACGTTAAAGAACTGCGGGTGGTCGAAATTTCCGGAGCCCTCCACCTACGGCGTCTCATATAATCATATGCTGGTTTTGGGACGTTAAATCCCACATATCAATCAATCGTAATGGTCGAAATTTCCGTAGCCGTCACACTACGGCGTGCCTAAATATCATACCGTGGTTTGTGCACGTGCAACACCGATTACTTCCAATCCAGATCATGACCAGTGGGATGTCCGTTGCTGACGCAAGCAGCTGCTCGCTCACTAGGGCAATCGATCTGTCAAGTGCAGCGGCCTAACGTCATTGTTTACACTGCTGTGGTGCAGCATGAATCCTAGCTCGTGCGTTCACACGGTGCTATTTCGACCTCTTTTCATGCTCATATTCTTACTTTTCTTACTCTGTAGGGTAGCAAACCTGACAAGCTCCTAGTTGAGCTTCTCTACCTTTTTCCTATACTAGCTAATTCCCATCTGCTTTCTTACAGTTGCTTTGCCGAAGTATTGCTGTGGCCGAAGCATTGCAGAACACTGTTTGAACACCGAATTCGCCGAGTGAGATATGGTCGCACTCTCGGATGGATGGGCCGTACCCGGATATACGTGTCAGTCGGTTCGGGTGGATAGACGCGTCGCATTTTGCGTGCGTCCACAGAAGATGGTTGCGCCGGCTTGCACACGGCGCCGTGTGTGGGTGCTTCCCGGTGATCTTTGTCTCGTCGTTGCGTTTCGTCGCATTCGGGTGAAGCCAAGCCTCCGAGCAGCGCGATCCCTTCTTCCTCCCCCCTGGTGCATATCTTTTCCCGTTGTCGGCGCGCTGCCTCGCTTCACTTCACGGCGCCTTTCCGGACGCCGCCGCACGGTGGCGCCACGTGCCCACCGGCGTGCGACTGCGGCGTATAGTAAACACGCGGCTCTCAATCTTTTTTTCCCCCTTTTTTTTAGCCTTTTTATCGTCGCTATACCTGTGCCGCTTTTTTTCCCGCATGAGTCATACACGGGCGGGCCTACCTGGTTGGCTGACTGCTTGGCCGACTGGCCGCGTGCTCATTTATGCAGTCTAAAACAGTGCAGTATTGTGGAAGCTACGGAGCGATTGATATATGGAAATGACCGTAAATTGCAAGGTTGGAGCGTCATGTTTGTCCGCGTTTCTAGTGCAGCGGAAATGAAAAAAAAAAAAAAGGGGACACTATAGGTGTATGCGCCAAACATAAACGGGCTGCCGTACATATTCTAAAATTTTTTCTTTCGTGTCCTCGTTCGGGAACCATAAGCTGGCAAACCTATATGCCGAAGTAAACGTGATGTGATGATGGGCGTCCTGCCTCATTAACACACTCACGATACACGCCTTCGCAATTATGCCTGTTCTTAGCACCAAACAGTAATCTGCCACGGGGATGCAGTGTTCATGTAGTTCTGATGCTCGACTGCCGAGCCTAAGCTCGACTGATCAAATTCCGGCTGCGGCGAGCAGTTTTTTTTTTTTTTTGTAGAAGCTCAAGTTTTTGAGACCGTTGCACTTAGGATCAT